CCCCCCTACACACCGCTCTTCTTTATCTGACATGTTCATAGGGAGGGGAGGGGAGGATTGTAATTCCCTGAGCTTGTTTCTCCCAAATTTTGTAGGAAAGTTGTACCCGGATGTTCTGTTGGTTGCAGCGTCTGGCCCGGGCCCGGGCTGTGCATTCTCCAGTTTGAGAGCACGCACTGATGTAGCATTTGGACTCAATCAGAAAACTGACGTGGGAAACACACGTAAGAGAATTGTCAAGGCGACCCCAGTAGCAATTCATGATTAAATGTGGATCTGCGTGGACGAACGTGCAGAAACTGTGCCTGACCTTCATACAGGCATGGCATGGCCTGACATTTCAGAAGGAAATGTGTGTGTGTGTGTGTGTGTGTGTGTGTGTGTGTGTGTGTGTATTTAAAACATATATGTATTGATTTCGGAGAGAGGGAAAAGGAGAGAGACATGGAAACATCAATGATGAGAGAGAATCCTTGATCGGCTGCCTCCTGTACATCCCCACTGGGAATCAAGCCCACAACCCGGGCATGTGCCCTGACTGGGAATCTAACCGTGACCTCCTGGTTCATAGGTCGATGCTCTACCACTGAGCCACACCGTTCAGATGAATGTTTGCCTTTATACGTTTTTGATGAAATACTGGTAGAGCATTTTTTCCATGTGGTAAAGAGAAAAACAACCAAGAGGGAGAAAATGAGAGTTTGGTGAACTATAAGAAAAGAAAAACGACAAATATGACACATCATCTCTCTCTCATAATAAATGTCACGGTGAAAGTAATAGAAAAACTGTAATCTAATTGGGCACATTGATATCATGTTTTTCAATGAAAGAATAGAACAACCACTTGCTACTTTTACATGAAAATTAATAATTCAATGATATACAAATAAAAAGACAAGAGGAAAAGTTTAAAATGGAAATATATAAATATGAACCTTGATTGAAAAATAGATAAAATGCAGATTTTCTTAGAAAAATAGAAATTAGAAATATTAGAGAAAACTAAATAAATGGACCAATATCCTTAGAAAAAACTAGAAAACATGATTATGGAACTAGTCCACAAACATGCATAAAACACAGGTAGTTTTACAGAGAACACTGAGACGTCAGAAACATGGAGAGGAAGATGAAGAGTAGACTCATTCTGCACAGGAAGGTGCTGCCAAGTACGGCTTGTACATGAACAACTCATCTTACAATGGGCATCAGTCATGAGGCCCGTGGGGAGGCCGAGGTTTTTGTCCCACTTCCCCATCTGTGTGTGTCACTGTGGGAATCAGTATTTTCTCCAACCTGACAGTAATAGTCAGCCTCGTCCTCAGGCTGCAGCCCCGAGATGAGCAGGAGCCCCGCATTGGCCGAGGCGTCTTTGGATCCAGAGAAGCGGCTGGGGACCCCGGAGCCCTGTTTCTTACTTGAGTCTGAATGATAGCCCAGGAGGTACCGGGGACGGCTCCCTGGATTCTGCTGGTACCAGTTTATCCAGAAAGCACTGAGAGGATAGGAAGCACCACTCAGGGTGCAGGTGAGTCTGGCTGTGGCTCCCGGAGATGCAGAGAGGGAGGGCGGCTGAGTCAGCACAGGCTGGGAGAGGGACCCTGCAGACACAGACACTTGTCAGTGATGGGCAGGGACCAGGGGACCTTTCCCAGGAGCCTGAGCAGGAAGGGAAGAAGCCTGGTCCCAGGCCTGTCCCTACCTGTGCAGTGAGAGAGGAGCGCGAGGAGCAGAGGAGTCCAGGCCATGGTGCTCACAGCCCTGAGCCCACAGTGGGGCTGGGCTGCCCAGGCCTCCTTTTCTCCCCACCCTCTGCCAGAGGAGGGGCTGCCATGCAAATGGGAGTCCCTCCAGGGACTGCCCAGCCCCTCCCTGGGCCCTGGGGTTGGACCTCAGCTCACACCCCAGACTGAGGGGCATGGAGGTGGGCTCACCCCTTGGGGGGCCCTGGGAGGAAGCACCTGCTGGGACCACACAAGGGTCCCTGCTCAGAGGACACGGCTGCTGCTTTCCCCTCAGGGAGCACAGAGCATGGCCATGGGGCTCCTGTCAGTAAATGGTCCTCACTGAGCAGCTTGCATGAACCTCAGGGCAGTCCCACAGTGCCACCTGCTGGTCACATGTGCAAAAATAAAAAACGCTGAGATTTCTAACCTTAATTTAAACACTAGAGGACCAGTGCATGAAATTCATGCACAGGAAGGGTCCCTAGGCCTTGCTGGTGATCAGGGCCATTCAGGTTCCCCACCTCTCCACCTCCTCCTTCCCTCACTTGCTCAGGGCCCAACCAGTGCTCCCCCACCATGTTCTACACCGCCCTCTGGTGGTCAGCTCACGTCATAGCAAGCAATTGAACTCAGGTCTCCCAGTGGAACTCCCAAGGCGACACTTTGCATATTAGCCTTTTGTATAGATAGATAGATAGATAGATAGATAGATAGATAGATAGATAGATAGATAGATAGACAACACGCCTACTTTCCTTGGAATATACAAGTGAGGCTGCATCAACAACCCTGTCATCTATATACAGACGATGCATGCGACGACCGTCGATTCCGGAACCGGAAAG